TAAATTGTTCAAGAAAAAAACGCAACTTTAGCTGACTGCATGATTGCGATGCTTTGGCCTTTGCAGTAAACTAAGTGCATTTTGCTCTCTACCAGAGCTTATGTCATTAGCTGGATGCCAAAATTCTCAATAGTAAATTGGGATCAAACGAACTTATTAAGCATGATAAGGAGCAAATGAAGGAAAGTTTTTGTTATATAAGGCAGGAAAAGGGAAAAAACCGCCAAAAAATTTTCCATTTTGTATGGTATGGTGTTTTTTACTTTTACGGTATTTCAGTAATGTGGCGGAATAAGTAGAAAAGAGCATAATCAGGTCATAATGAATGCAATTTAAGTAGTTTGGCTGGGCCAGTTTTTAATTGCCAGCTATTTTTTTAGCACTTTGGAAGCCGATACTGATGCTGATGGAGAAAAGCCGGAGCGAAAAGCGAGTACTTCATGAATCATAAACTGAGCATATCAAGAAATGAAGTTTCCTCTGGACAAAGATGTTGCTTATTACTTCAGTAGTGCTTTTGCTGTTCGAGAATCATTTACCGAGGAGCAGTCGCGCATGTCTTTCTTATCCATTGTCTGCTTAATGTGGATTCAGCGCCTCCTTTTTGGCACGGTGCAGTTGGATCATTTTGCGCAAATACGACTACTGACAACGAAGAAGTATTGGTTGCGATTTTTCCTTATTCTGAACGATGATCTTTGTTAAAGATTCAGAATCGCATATTTCATTTAGAATGCGAAAACGGCTTTGGTGATGAGCACTTTGCATTTTTTTTTATAGCTAGTTACAGAAAGGGAAGATGATAAAAAAAAAGACAAGGTTATGCGGCAAGTCGTGAAAACTTTGAGTAATTCTAAGGATTTTTATCGAATGATTCAAAAAAAAGGCATGCCTCATTCTTTCAACAACTTAAACGATTTGGTAATGCATTTATAATCTTTGTTGATGTATATTGGCATCATCTAGCTGCCTTTCTTGATTTTTTACTCTATCTAGTCGACCTCTCTGGGCTTGTTACATTGGATTGCCACGTGCTGCACTTTTTCAACAGCTAGCAATACGTAATGTTTCCCGCAGTATGCAATGGCAGTTCCTGTTTTGAGCGAAGGCAATATGAATACACAGTTAGTAAAGCGCCAGGCATCGGTCACGGTGCAGTCGTTCCTTCGTTCCTTTTGGCGTTCGGCGCATAGCAAGTCCATCTCCATTCTGCATCTTTTTTCAATTAGTTCTTACTATTAAACAGTTTGTTCATCTCCGTCACTGTTGCTT